GGAGGCAGCGGCCACAGCCAGCCGCCTGGTCTCCGATGCCAGGTCACCCAGCTCAAGTGCAGGGGTCAAGGTCCTGGCGTTCCTGTCGCTGGCCGAGGTGGGCCAGGTGGCCGGGCCGGGCCCTCAGCGGGAGCTGAAGGCGGTGCTCCTGGAAGCCTTGGGGTCACCCAGCGAGGACGTGAGGGTGGCGGCCTCCTACGCGCTGGGCCGAGTGGGCGCCGGAAACCTGTGCGGAGGCAGGTCGAGCCCGAGCCCCGGAGGCAGTACCTGCTGCTGCATGCTCTCAGGGAGGCCCTGGGCGCTGCCCAGCCCGACAGCCTGAAGCCCTACGCCGAGGACATCTGGGCCCTGCTGCTCCAGCGCTGCGAGGCCGCCGAGGAGGGCACCCGGGGCGTGGTGGCCGAGTGCCTCGGGAAGCTGGTCCTGGTGAACCCGCCGTTCTTTCTGCCCCGCTTCCAGAAGCAGCTCTCTGCAGGTAGGGGCTTAGGCAGGGCTGGGCCAGCTCTGAGTGTCCAGGCAGCTCACACAGGGAGTTGTCGCAGGTCACCGGCCCCAGCAGTCAGGATCTGTAAAACAGAGCCAAAGGGGCCCCAGAGGAACACAGGGTTTTTTTTTTTTTTTGGAGAACTTTTTACTATAGTGCGCATGCGCTCGTCAGACAGACAGATGGAGAGACAGAAAGTGAGAAATCACCCCGCAGGGGGGATGGCCACGCCGCAATCCCTTCTCCTCCATTCTCCTCTCGGGATCTTGGGCATGCACGCACACGCGCCTGGCGTGAGTTTAAGCCACCGGGTCCAGGACTCGAACCGCGGTCGACTACGTGGGAGTCCAGCGACATAGCCATTACGCTAACTGCTGGTCCCCACACACACAATATTAGTATCTACTAATACTGAGTAAGTAAACTACTGTCGTTGCTGGCTATGTTCGTGATCACAGTTGAGGCCTTCCTGGGTTGCTGGGTGTGTACGGAGCAGCATCGCTGTGTGCATAAGAGGGCATTGTTGAGGACCTTACCCATGCATCATGCGGTCTCAGGAGGAGGAAGAGCTTTGCTGCTGCTTTCTATTTCTTCTTCCTTTTTTTAGAATTACTTATTTACATTTGTGAGACAGAGAGAGAGAAGAAAAATGAAAAAGCAAGCCTCTGGGTCCAGGAGAGAGAGAGGGAGAGTGAGTAAGTCTGCCCCCAACGTGAGTTTTAAGCTGCCAGGTCCAGGACTCGAACCACAGTCAACTACATGGGAGTCTAGCAACGTAGCCATCACACCATCTGCTGGTCCCCTGTTATCCCTGTCTTCATCAGCCCTAACTATTTTTCTTTCCAATGCATTATTTTACGTTGTTTTATTCATTATTGTTATTCTCTTACTTGACAAGAGAGAGAAGAAAAGCACGAAAGCACGTGGCCAGGTTCAGGACCTGAACGGCGGGCAGCCATAGGGCAGTCTGACACCTTAACACCTAGCCAGCCCCCTAAATCTTCTTAGGAGCCAGTCGCGGGGGAAAGAAAAGGAGGAACGGAGCAACACGAGTTGTCTGAATCCATAGCTCTCCCACTCATCCATCCCTGCAGCCAGGCTGTGAACTCGCTCCTCGGGTCTCCGGTCCGAAGCCTGCCTGATGGAGACAGCCTCCACCTGCTCACTGTACTGCAGAGGGTGGGCCGTGGGCTGGAGAGGACCCAGCAGAGTGAAGACGCAGAGCTGTGGGGCCAGCAGGTGGCATGGGGGTGGAGGCGCTGGACTCCCACATGGCTGAGCATGGTTCGAATCCTGCACCTGGCAGCTTGCTTTCTCACTTTCCTTCTCTCTCTCTCTGTCTCTGTCTCTCTCTGGTGAGTTCACATGATCTATAGCAAATTAAATAATAAGATATAAAATGAAATAGGTAATGTTTTGCTTTAAAGATGTGGGGTGCGGGTCTGTCTTCCACAGAGGCAGGGAGAGCCTGGGTTCCTTCTGACCGTGGGCATGAGGCCTGGCCCGTGCCCTGCTCCAGGTCCCTCTCTGACTTGCAGGGCAACCCCATACCCGGAGCACTGTCATCGCGGCAGTCAAGTTCCTCATCTCAGACCAGCCGCACCCCATCGACCCCCTCCTGAAGAGCTTCATTGGTGAGTGCCCCCGCTGCTCCGCACCCCACCCTCGAGCAGAGGCTGGTGTTTCTCCCACGCTAGCCACGGGGTCAGAGACTTGAGAGGCCATTTCCCCCACTCCGTGATGGCCGTGAGGCCTGGCTGTTAGGAGTGCTGGGTTCAAGTCCCTGTACTGCCCCTGACTCGCGGGGTGAGCCTGGTATGCCCTTCCTCGCCTCGAAGCCTCAGTTTCCTCATCTGTCAAGTGGGCGTGAGAAACTCGGAGCTTCTAGCCTTTAACTGGGCCCTCTTGGGAGCAGCGGGTGGTGCGGTGGTTAAGGCACTGGATACCCACATGGCCGACTGCAGTTCAAGTCCTGGACCTGGCAGCTTGCTTTCTCATTTCCCTCTCTCTCTCTGGTGAATTAAAATAATAAATAAATAAATAAATATATATATATTTTTTGAAGAGGTTTTTGCTATAGAGCATGTGTGCTCGCC